CCCCCCCCCAAAAAAAAAACCCCAAAACAAAATAGACTTCTTTTTCCTGCATTAGCATCCTGCAGGCCTCCCTACCCACTCTTATCCCCATCTGCTTGTATCTTAAGCTTTCTGTCAGTATTGTAGAACTTAGTTTAGTAGTATATATTGTCTATAGGTTTTAGGCTTTTAGATCTGGTTGTCCTGACCACTATTGTATTGGGATTTTTTTTTCATGATAAAACATTCTTTCTTTTACAACCCCAACATGTATTGGGATTTAAAAAGATTCAAAGCCTACACCGCCACAACTCCACCTTCCCAGGCTCTGCTTTCTCATGAAATTCTGACCTTTTAGCATTTGAAGGATTCTTCAAAAGAATTGTTTCAGAGCAAGTGACTAATATGGAGGCTGGGATTGAGCCCTGAGGTCTCCAGATTGAGGCAAGTGCACAATACACTATGTCATTGTTATCTTCACTATGCCACTTGGGAGATACTGACACTAGCCTTCCTCAGCAGCACCATTGTCATCCTCTCTGTGTTCACACTTGTAGGACAGTGAACTACCTTGTATTATTTGTATTCCTTTAAAAAATATTACCATACCACCTTGGTGTTATACTCAAAGAGTTTTTGTTTGTCTTTTGGACAGGGTCTCCCTCTATGTCCCAGGCTGACTTTAATGTCTTAATCCTTCCGCCCTAGACTGATGAGTGCTGGGATTGTCAGTGTACACTACCACAACTGGCTCAAAATAGAATTTTTCTCGATATTTGAAATGTTATTCCTTTGTAGTCTATTTTTATGGGCTTAAAGATTTTACATGAGCACTGTGCTCAGTTATGCAGATCACTGCTTTATTTAATCCTTACTCTTTACTCTGCTGGGCCCTGCATCAGATTCCTGGACACTGTGGTAATGTGCCAGGCACAGGCAGACCAATGGGCATTAATGGCATCTTAAGAAATGCCTCTGAGGAGAAAGTATAGGCCTATCAGGGCCTCTACCTCCTGCTGGTCATCCAGTAAACAGAAGTGTGGACTTATTTCAAGACCTGAAAGATGAGTAGATGTTAACAATGATCCGCAGGATAAGAGGAATTCAGCTAAAGGTAGCAGGATAGACCAAAGTGCAGAATAAAGAATATTACAACTGAAAATTGAAGCATGTTAGTAGTTACTGAAACTATTAGCCCAAGTATGACTACAAGTCAGTGAGAAGTGATGCTGTTAGTGTAAGAGGGTACCATTGTTTTCCAAAGTTGGGGTGGAATTTGACTGTGGTAGAGGGCTATAAGGGTCTGTAAAGTAGCTGACAAAATAGTAGTGTGTACCTGCATCTGTCTGGCTTTAACTTTTGTTGTGGATAGTTTTTCCATTTATGTTTTGCTGGTTAGCTTATTCCAAATTTTAGAATAAGAACAGAAATAAAAGTAAGGAAGCTTCTGTTTGTGCTTTCTAGTTACTTAACGTTTCTTATAATTTTACAGACAATTCTAAGGCAATTGTTCTATCTGCTTTCTGTTGACTATAAGCAATAAAGGTTAATACATATATTCCAAATGGATTCCCTGTTTTAGTGTATCTTTCTATGAAAATATAATACATTATATAGTGATTTTCCATAGCACATTTTATCTTACTAATTTTCATTATAATTATAAAGCCAATCTGTTAATTGTATAAATCAAAGTGTGCCAAGTAAAAATCTTGTGTGCAAAATGTCTGTGTGTTTTACTTTGGGGAACTGAGTTGGTATGTGAGCATGTAAATTACCACCTATTTAAATACTAGTTGACTTAGTTTCAGAGCTGGTGCCTGGAGCTTCTCACAAAGGGCTTCCTGCATCTGTGGCTACTGCTGATAAGAATCCAGTGTTTGAGCCTTTTGTTTATCTGAGGAAATTCCTGTTAGGTGTGTGCACATTCCCCTTTGTTTCCAGTGTTACCCTTAGTCTGCCATAAGAATCTTACATACACTCTATTCTTTTAGCAAAGTCCTTTTATAGATGAGGATACATCCCTGCAGATGGGCTCAAGCTGATCAGAGCCACCATTGTATACATCGAACCTAATGACAAGCTACCTTGTTGATTTAAAACTTAATACCTGTGTACATCAATTAGATAAGAGACTAAACATTAGCAATATTTTCCAGTAATTTGTGGTAATTTAATGAAAGTGTTTAAGTTTGAAAGGGCCTTTGAAGTAAAATATGCTGTAATGAGTCAAACAATTGATAAATTTTATTTTGATAATTTTGGTGGTATTCAAATACTTTTGTGTCACATATCTGCTATATTCAAAACTACAGGTCTAAAGGTTGGGTTTAATACTTGGAGACTGAGGTACTAGTTCAGTTTAATCACACATGCTATACAATCAAAATTATTGTGCCCACAATAGTTTCCTGCAGCTGTGTTTTGCTATTTGTGATCAGGAAGCTTTGCAATGCCTTTGAATCCTGATCTCCTATCAGGAAAAACCAATGAAAGATTCCCACCCCCTCCCCCCCCATACTGAGGAGCAAACCCAGGCCACAACCCCAATTTCTGATTTGTGTCAAATAGCAGAAAACAGTATCTTTGTGAACTGTTATTGACATTATCTCTTATTTATTTAACCAATAAATACTATTTCCTCTTAGAAAATTTGGAAGTTTTGTTGCAGTTTGTATTGGAAAATTTATGGTTTCTTAGCTATGATGGATTTAAAAAATAAGATAGATAAGGTATATAATTATTAATGAATTGATACTGGTAAGAAAATTTTATATATATGGGAGAAAAGAGTGTTTTGTTGTTTATAAATATTTTAATTTGGTAGAGTTCAACAAAAATTTCATTTTCATTTCAGGCCTTTGAAGACCTTAGCAAGCTAATGATCAAGGTATGTATAACTCACACCCTAGAAGTACATAAGTCACCATACAGCTTTGACAATAGAGTTTATCTGACAATACTTTGACTAGATGATCTCTTTTTAATCTTCTCTTTTGACAGGCTAAAGAAATGGTGGAGTTATCAAGATCAATTGCTAATAAAATTAAAGAGAAGCAAGGTGACGTCACAGAAGATGAGGTAAAGATGTTTTTTAAAGGCATGAGATCTATTTTTTTTTTTTTGGGTCCAGTCGCGGGGCCTGAACTCTGGGCCTGAGTGCTGTCCCTCAGCTCTTCAGCTCAAGGCTAGCACTCTACTACTTGAGCCACAGCGCCACTTCTGGTGTTTTTCTTTTTGCTTATGTGGTGCTGAGGAATCGAACCCAGGGCCTCATATATGCAAGG